GGATGATAGATGGATAGACAGATGATAGGTAGATGGATATATGATAGATTCATAGGTGACGCATGGATAGATAGATGATAGAGAGATGATCGGTAGATAGATGATGGATGGATGGATAGATAGATGGATGATAGAGGGATAGATTATAGGTAGATGGATATATGATAGATACATAGATGATGCATGGATAGATGGATGATAGAGAGATGATTGGTAGATAGATGTTGGATGGCTGGATAGATAGATGGATGACAGAGGGATAGATGATAGGTCGATGGATATATGATAGATACATAGATGAATGGATGGATAGATAGATGATAGATTGATAGATAGATGATAGGTAGATGGATATATGATAGATGATGGATGGATAGATAGATGATAGATTGATAGTTGATAGATGGATAAGATGGATAGACAGATGATGGATGGATAAATAGATGATAGATTGATAGATGATAGGTAGATGGATATATGATAGATAGATACATGATGAATGGATGGATAGATAGATGATAGATTGATAGATGATAGATGGATTCGATGGATGAGAGCTAGCTAGCTATAGATGACTGGTAGGTAGTTTAAAAAAAAAATCAAACCAGTTGACACTGAGTTGACTCTGACTCATGGCAACCCATATGTGTCAGAGTAGAACTGCACTCCATAGGCTTTTCGATGGCTGATTTTTTGGAAGTAGATCACCAGGCCTTTCTTCCAAGGTGCCTGTGGGTGGACTTGAACCTCCAACCTTTCAATGTAGCCGAGCGTGTTCACCGTTTTTGCTACTAGGGACTCCAGAGAACGATTCATTTCCACCACACTTGGGTCTCCCTGAGCTGGGAAAGCACGGGAGCAGCCCTTGGGCTCCTCGTCTGGCGTAACATCACAGCACGGTAACCTGTGCTTTGCTTCACAAAGGCGAGAGTTGCAAAAGGCACCACTGGGTCTGGCTCCTTCCTCGGCAGAGGGTGACCTGTGTCATGGCTGTGAGTCTGTGTGAGTCTCACCAGGTGGTTTCCTCCAGGTCTGAGGACAAGCGGCTGCAGTTCATGTGAGGCCTGCAGGAGGTCTGGAGTGTCCATGGGAGAGCCGTGATGGCTGCCTTTGACTTGTCACTCTTCCTGTTCATCTGTGACCTTGGAGGTGAGCATCGACCCCAAAGGTGGAGCCTGTCTACAGATCCCGTGGGGGAACCTCATGCTTACCTGTCGTGGTTGTTGTCTGTGACCTTGGAGGTGAGCATCAACCCCAGAGGTGGAGCCGGTCCACAGATCCCGTGGGGGAACCTCATACTTAGCTGTTGTGGTTGTTGTCTGTGACCTTGGAGGTGAGCATCCATCCCAGAGGTGGAGCCCGTCCACAGATCCCGTGGGGGGACCTCATGCTTACCTGTCGTGGTTGTTGTCATTGTTGTTATTAGATGCCGTCCAGTCAGCCCCAACTCATGGCGACCCCAAGTACAGCAGAATGAAACACTGCCCAGTCCTGCACTATCCCTATGATCGTTTGCAGACCAGACTGTTTTGATCCACTGGGTTTTATGGGCCTGGAGATTTATTTCCAAAAAACAGGGTTTTGAACCAGTTCAGAACAGTTCAGGAACGGTTCAGTAATTGCTGACATCAACAAAGGCAACGTATGCGTTGCATAGCAACCCAATCTGTTGCCCGTGGGATTTTGACTCGAGTAGGAAATGGCTGTGCCCCACTCAAAGATGGCAGCTGACTGCACCACTGTGAACGTGTATCACCTCCACAGAGTCCTGCCAGTAATCCAGTCTCTGTATGGATCCCGAAAATTTCAGGAGACTGATGCAGGAGATTGGATTATTGGCAGGACTCTGGAGAGCGGCACACATTGAAAGTGGCACAGTTGGCTGCCATCTTTGAGTGGGGCACAGCAGTTTCCTACTCAGGTCAAAATCCCACGGGGAACAGATTTGGTTGCTATGCAACGCATATGCTGCCCTTGTTGACGCTGGCAATTACTGAGCTGTTCCTGAAGTGTTCTGAACCAGTTTGAAGCCCTGCCAGAAAATCAGCTCCTGAAAACCCTGTGGAGCACCGTTCTACTCTGACATGCGTGCGGGTGCCGTGAATCAGAGTCGACTCGATGGTACCTGGTAGAGAGCTCCTTGGGATGGAAGCATGAGAAAAAGAGCCCCATACTAGAAGTCTGCAGGACCCTGAGTGTGCCTGTTTGTGGTCTTTGGAAGGGTCCTCCGTCCTCGTGTTTTCCTCAGGCTCTTGCCTTGAATGTCCACCTGGGACTTGCCACTTCCTCCTTGGCTTGGCTGTTGTCTGTCCTTGGCTGTACAGGGCCCAGGTCACCACAGGACACAGTGAAATCATAGATGGGGTG